CCCCCAGAGAATGGAGTAGAGGAGACTGCAGCGTGGGCCATTCTCCCAGGGGGTGATTTCTTGCTTTCCGTCTTTCTCTCCGGCAAGTGCATGCGCCCTATAGCAAAAATCTCTACTTTTAAAAAAAATAGATTTTATTTATGCTGCGTCTGTAGCCTTTATTTTCCTATAATCACACCTCTCCCCAAACCTTTGCTGCAGTATTGGAGGTAAGCTGTGGCTTTGGAGGTTGGGAGAGCGGATTCTTGACTTCTTATTAGTTGGCCAGGCTCTTTGACCTCTCTGCCTCAGTTTCTTACCTGTAAAATGGGGATAATAATACAAGGGGACTTTAAAATTTGTGGAAAATGGGATTAGAGTATGAGTTTGGGTAGAAAAAGTTCTGAAATCTGTGTGTTGCTTTTCATAATCATGTGTCTTCCAGGACCCTATTTGAAGACCCTCCCTGTGTTGTTCAGGTCATCAGGGAGTGAATGATTCTTGTAGTAGGAGCGATTTGCACGTGGCCCTGATGGGTTGGCTCTCCTGGGGCTGTGGGTACAGAGCTCCAGGCAGCCTGGCACTCTGCCCACCGGCACCCCTCTGCATGTTCTCTCTCCAGGGTGCTGCCCCGTTGGAAGATCACCTCTCGGACTTCCCCACGTGGTGAGCTGACTGGGATGGTGCCCCAGGAAGCCCCTGAGCTCGTCCAGTGCCTGTGCCCTACCCTCGCCAACCCGGATACCAAGAATGTGCCTCGGAGACGACACAAGAGGAGAAGCCGACAGCACCAGCGCTTCATGGCCCGGAAGGCCCTGCTGCAGGAGCAAGGGCTGCTGAGCACGCCCCCAGAGCCAGGACCGTCCCCATCGCCTGCCCCAGCCACGGCACTCCCAGGCACTGAAGCCACCAGCAGCGGGAGGCAGTGTCCAAGGGCTGAGCCTGGCAGCACCCCGTGCAGCAGAAGGCTCCCCACCAGGGAAGCCTTGGGGCCCTCGCCCAGCAAGTGCGTGGCTATCGACTGCGAGATGGTGGGCACAGGCCCCCGGGGGCGGGTGAGCGAGCTGGCTCGCTGCTCCGTGGTGAGCTACTACGGCGATGTCCTCTACGACAAGTACATCCGGCCCGAGATGCCCATCGTGGACTACCGCACCCGCTGGAGCGGCATCACCCGGCAGCACATGCGCAAGGCCATCCCCTTCCAAGTGGCCCAGAAGGAGGTGAGGGCAGGCCGAGGGCCTTGTCTGGGCCAGTGTCCTGGGCTGGAAAGGGCGACCCCGGGTTCAAGGTAGCACTTTGCCACTGGGGACAAGAGACTGGAAAAGTCCAGATAATTTTGTGGAAAGCCTACGTCCCATGAAAGGTAGTAAGCAGCTTATGTTTAAAATTCTTTTTTCTGGGCGGGCTCTGCGGCCCGGTGTTAGGGCAGCTGGATCCCACATGGCTCATTACACAGTCAATCCTGGACCCAGCAGCATGGTATGTGCTAAGAATCCCAAAGGGAGGGATGGAGAGGTGGAGAGAAGGGATTGTGACTATTCCGCATGAGGGGTGCCCCTCTCCCTGTCTCTCTGGCAAGCACACATGCCCTCTAATCAGGAAAAAAAGTTGTTTTCTGTTAGAAAAATGTTGCATGTCTGAACTTGCAGAATTTGTAGGGCCATGACCTGTTACCTTCAGGTATTAACAGGTTCCTATTAATAGATTTCCTATGTGAGTGTTTCAGTGCTTTGAAAAAAGTTCATGGTTGGGACCACGCTAATGTGCCAGGAGTTCTCAAACATGCTTGAGCATAGCACACACCTAAGCCTCCTTAACAACCCAGTGTCCTTGTCCCCAGATCCCTTCATGGAGACTCTGATTCAGTAAGTCTCTGGGATTGGGGGAGATTCTTTTCTTTTTTTAGTAGGGTGTATACACTCGCCGGAGGTGGGGGGCAGTGAGAAAGCACCTGTCAAAGGAGATGACTACACTGCAATACCTTCTCCATTTTCTTCTCCGGATTTTGGGCATGCATACACACATGCAGCCAGCGTCTCAGACTTGAACCGTGCAGTCAGCTATGTGGGATCCAGCTGCCTTAACCACATCACCTGCTGGCCCACTACCTTAAAGACTCAATATATCTTTCCCACTGCCCCCAAAGCAGCGCTGGTGCTGCTATAGTGAACCCTATGGTGCAGCAGAGCAGCTGTGGGAGGCACGTGGCCGGTGATAACGGAGCCCACACCCAGCAGACAGGACTGAGGAGGGTTGCAGGCCCATGGCCCTGGACACGGCCCCCCTGGGGCATGAGAAGGGCACCAGGCAGAGAGGAGAGAAGCACGTTTTGCCGGTGGCCAGAGCTGACAAGGGAAGAGGTTTAGAGGGTGAGAAGGAGGAGCTGGTACACAAGGGAGGTGGGGAGGCAGAGACAGAACCCTAAAGATAGTCTGCGTTGGTTAATACTCAGAAAAGCTCCACTTACAGCATGTCTACCAGTGCCAGGGCTGGTTCTGTTGACCTATTCAACAGGTCTTGATTGGTCCCCTGAGAGGGGGGACCTCAGTGAGGAGTCAATCAGCAAACGTGATGCTCTCATTGGAGCTTCACTTCTCAAGTCAGCGCAGTCCCAGCACTCACAGAGCTCACAAGGCGGGGCGGCGGGTGCAACCAGACCATCTGACCTAAATGTGTACTTGCAAAGTACGAGGAGCATTTCCCCCCGAGGCGGAACGGGGTGCTGAGAGAACAGAGGTTTGCGTGAATGGGGAGCCCTGGAAGGCCCGAGGCGGTGGCACTGACATGGACCATCTGTGACCTCCGACCCTCACAGCACCCCCAGGATGTGGTTGGTAGAGTTCTCCTGCCAGGTGCAGAGGACTTGGGTGCCCTGATCATGGTCAGCAGGAGGCCTGGATTGAGACTTCAGAGCTCCAGTCACCCCGCCGTCCCTCCAGAGGATCCACGCACCTATTGGTCAGGGAGTCCGGGCCATGGGGGGCCTTCCTTACCCTCCTCTCTCTGCCCACAGATCCTTAAGCTCCTGAAGGGCAAGGTGGTGGTGGGGCACGCGCTGCACAACGACTTCCAGGCCCTCAAGTACGTGCACCCTCGAAGCCAGACCCGGGACACCACTTATGTCCCAAACCTCCTCAGCCAGCCCAGCCTCCACACCCGGGCCCGGGTCTCTCTAAAGGATCTGGCTCTGCAGCTGCTGCATAAGAAGATCCAGGTATGTGTGCACAGCCAGTGGGAGGGAGTGAGGCTGAGGCCGCTTGGCCTCCACACCTACTGGGCCACCCCCGGAATGATGGGCTGAGCCCCCAGCTTCCTCATTCTTACCCAGTCAGGCCTAGGACCTGGTGTAAAGTGGGGTCTCCCACTCGGCCAGGCAGCCCTAGGTGTGACCCTTCTTGCTTGGTCTGCACTGTGGTAGCCACATTCTACAGGATTTCTGGCTCTGTCCCTGCCTCTCTGCAGGGCAGTCCCTGTCTCCTACAACCAAGCCGGGGGCCTTCAGTCAGGAGGAGCCCAACTTGCTCCAACTGTGTTTTCACACTCGTCACATCTGACCATCAGACCTTTGAAGCAGGGGATTTTTGCCATTTCCTATACACAGGATCTTCTAAAAGTTCATGGAAATGCAGATCATGAAAACACACTGGATGTCCAAAATTTCTGCACAGAAGTAAACTCATCATACTCTATTTCATTTTCCATGAATTTTAAGAAGTTCCCTGTATTTGAGGACAGCAGGCTTAGAGAAGCTAGATGGCTGGTGTGGACCCTCACTCTGGGGTTGCATGCTCTTGGGCCTGCACAGAGCCCTGGGAGTGGGCCTGTCGCCGGGACAGCCAGCAGTGGGTGTTGGTTCTCGTCCACAGGTGGGCCGGCACGGCCACTCGTCGGTGGAAGATGCCACGACAGCCATGGAGCTCTATCGGCTGGGGGGGGGGGGGGGGGGGGGGGGG